AAAATCGGACAATAACCACGCCTACCTCCCATATAACGGTAATTTTCAGAAATACGAAAACTGCGATATTTTAGTAACTACTGAAGATTATTCCCTCAAAATTGATTTTTACAATAATTTTTTGACGAAAAATAAGAATATTATACATTTTTAAAAAATGGGCGTAGCCACGCCCACTTATAGTTACATGGGTATATCTTGGCAACCGCTGCACCGATTTCTTCCAAACTTGGCACAGTTATTGGCCTTGGTACAGGATATAAAATTACCGAAAATTTTTAAAATCGGACAATAACCACGCCCACATACCATATAACGGTCATTTGGAGAAATACGAAATCTTCGATAAATCAGTAAATATTAAAGCTAATTTATTCAAAATTGATGCTTGCAACAATCCTTTACCAAGAAATACGCTTATGATAAAATTTTGGAAAATGGGCGTGGCACCGGCCACTTATGATCACATATATATATATCGGTAACGGTTCAACCAATTTGTACCAAACTCGGTATTTTTATTGTGCGTGCCCCATAAAAGCAAAACGTTGAAAATTATAGAAATCGGACTAAAATTCCGGCCGCTTTTCATATAACGGTAAATTTCAGAAATGCTTGAAACTGCAATGTTTCGAAATTTTAGGACGCTAGTTTACTCAAAATTGGTACACCCCGGCTAACCATCTAGCGGTAGGTTTCGGAAAGGTGAAAAAACATGTATTTAATATTTGCGCCGGGTATTTAATGTTCGGCTCCGCCCGAACTTAGACTTTCTTACTTGTTAAAAGTAAAGTTGTCATTTTGAGTACATTCTCTCATCGGATCTCTCTCTCTTTTTTCCATATATCGACACTCTGATGTTGGTGAATGTACTTTGAATGTAGTGGCAATATAGAAGTATTGCATATATGCCCTGTGGGGAAAATCTCTAGTTCTGAACTGGTGCGCTTCTAGTACATTTAGACCCAGTACTGTTTCGCGATAAATCTCTTTTGCATGCAAGCAACTGGCGAATTTAACACGGCGATGTCCTAGGAAGTGTCAATTGCCCCCCGCTGCATCCCTTTTTCGATAGTTCCGAACTAGTCCTAAATTCTATAGTTCCGAACCAGTTCTAAAATCGACAGACGAAAGAAAAAAGTATCATGATTTTTCAATCTTTTTGGTTCTTCCGTGTGTGCGATTTTAAGTTATTTTGGAAGAAATGTGTTTTCAATTTGAAATTAAATTTGTTTGAATGATTGTAAGAAATGTACGTTTACATACCTTTAGCTGTAGCAGAGTTTGCAGAGGTTCTCGCTGTTATTTCTTAGATTCCAGACGGTCCCAAGATGTTGAAATGTTAACACAAATTTTAGTTTTGTATTACCAAGCTATGAAAAAGCATCTGCGAAGCACAGAATAGAAGCTTATTTGAACGAAAAAGCCACCGAACACATATCTATGTAAAGTAAACAAGCCCCCCGCTGCATCCCTTATTCGATAGTTCGTTCTGCACCCCTTTTTCTATAGTTCCGAGCCATTTCTAAATTCGTCACTTTAGATATATATTTATAGTGAAAAAAACTGAAAAAATTTGTTTTTTAAAAGTACCACTTTTCGCTGATTTTGGACTGGTGGGGATCTAGTTCCTATCGGACTAGTTCCTTTTTGGCGATAAAGACCTTGTACGGAACTAAAAATTTGATTCACTAGTCCGCGGTTTCCATCCAGGGTGGTTTTATTTATTAGTCCCACAAAGTGGTTTTGTATACATGAAAGTACTTATTAGAAAAATTCCCTCTTCCCTCTTGCCATCACGCTATAGATCCGTTTTTCTTTTTTACTCCGCATAAGAACTTTGAGCAATTGAAACAAATAGAGTATTAAAAGGTATTTATATTTAAGTTTAAGTATGGAAAATAGTTTTATATAAAACAATCAATGAGCAGAATTTTATTATTACTAAGCTTATGTTTAATTAACAACTCTTTTAATAAATAAGCTGTCAGCTTTTGGCTTAGCAACTGATATGATTCCGGCAGTTTTTATATTCTTAAACTAAAATAATACATTTGAAGTAAATTCCTATCTGTGGACTTTTAATAAAACAAGCTACATATGTGGTTTTGGAGAAAAAATGGGCCCTCGTACAAAAATTAAAAATTTTATTTACTAAGTACATGTGTATTTATAGTACATATATATATAAAATTTGTTGACTTTAAATTTTAATTAATGTATTTTGTATTTATAAATGGTTGAATGGTCTTAGTTTTACATAAAATATAAATATAATATACACTTAACGTATAAAAGAACAAGCAATGGCAATTTTCATTTAAAAACAAGTAATTTTGATTTTATCGACAACTATTAATAAGCGCACACAAAGTTTGTCGCTTACAGCTCCATACAAATTTTAAGCGCAGATACGTATGCGTGTAACAAAAAAGCCTAATAAACTGTAATTGAACTCGAGATAAGTTGTTTTATCGAATATCTACAGTTGTACATTTATAAAAGTATAGAAATATAGTTTGGGTGGTCATCCCTATTTTTGGACACACTTGAACATTGTCGTTTTTAGATTAGTTTGTATTTTTATATGTATTAAGAATAAAATGCTGAGTGAGAACCAAGCGAAAGCATTAAGTTGGCTTATGGCGTTTTCATTTCTACATAAAATGTTGCCTTCTCATCGCCTTCTTCTTAATGTTTGTGCGTAGAGGGCAAAGAGAAGGTTGCATTTTTTGGTAGAAACGAAATCGGCATAAAATTACTATGTGGATTAAGTTTTTTGTGAAGTATTCTTCCCGATCCATTTAACATTAACATTGAATATCCAGTTCTTATCTTGTTTATTTATACATTTATAGGAGTTATTATATTTTTGAAAGGCTCTTTCATGAGTAATTTGGCACTTCGACAATAAAATGACTTCTATTGTATTTACTGATTAAACTAAAGCTTTACAACAGCTGAATACTTTGTGTGCTTACTTTGTGTTCTAACTGTATTAACTGTCAAATTGGCAGTTGGTAAATAGGTTCGAAAAAATCATAAAAAATACACGAAATGCAAACTGGCGAGGTAACGTTGAGTATATGAAAACCACTAAGAAATTGCATTGGAAAGACATGGAGCTTTCAAATAGATTTTCACTCATTAAGACTAACATGGCGAAGTTGTATACAAACTCTTTTAAGTTACTCTCCATAAATCAAAATTATTTATATTGAAATGGGTATTTATACGTAGTTAATAAATAGCAAGCTAATAAATGTGATAATAATAAATACTTGCGGGCATACAAAATGTACGTACATACATTTGGAGGTATGTTTAAATTGGTTAGCTTTCACAGTATTATTTATCTATCTACATATCTATGATATACCTACGTTTATGGTATAAAAAATCCAACAATTTCAAAATTAAAAAAAAACTCCCGTAAATAAAAAAGAAGTTACAAAATTATCTACATAAAAAAGTCACCTAGTCAGACGACGGTGGTCTACTATATATTCTGCGCTTATTTCTCAAATTGATAATACACCTAATCTATCACTCGTACATCATTATTGCAGACTCGCTTCCTCGGATGCAGCGTTTTATCTGTAATCACAAAATTATTTCATTTGTAAACTCATTCAATCACTTTGCACTGTAAGTTACGACAAGTTTGCCCTTCTTCGTTTTGCTTGTTTGGACACCAGAAATTCTTAATTTCGACCATCTTGCGTTGTCCCATATCGCACATCCAAGTGGAACCATTCTGATTGGCTTCAATAATTTTGACTATATTTGTTGCACAATCGACTGGCGTCTGTGAGGGGAATGTTTTCCCACGCGATCTCTCTTTTAAATGGAGACTCTTCCGTTGAAAATAGTTTACATTGTCCCAATGTTTGGTGTCGGTTATGCCGGGGCAAATCGTGTATAAAGTTATGCCAGTTTTCGGTTCCAGATGCTGTGAATGACATAAATGGAGTATGATTAGTAATATTAAGAATTTTGGCGGAAAAAAACGTATTAGCAAATAATAAATAAATGTATGTATGTACATAGATGGTAGATAGATATACACTGCCGGAAGAAAGGATTGGCACAGCAAATTTTTCACAATATATGCAACAATTTTCATTCTAATATTTTTCTACTAATTTCGTATAAAAATATAGTTCATTCAACAACAAAAAACATAAAAATATAATTCCTAAACTTTGTGAAAATCTCTCGAAAATTCAGCAAATTTTCGTGAAAATTTTCAACTTTTTAATCAGATTATGTATGCAGATTTGTAGCCCAATCAATTTTATTACAATAATGTGCAAGGTTTAAGTAGCTAGGAATTACCGTTGATTTTTTGCAATTTTTTTCACGCAGTCTCTTCCATACAAAAAATTTTTCGAAAATACTTTATATGGAAAAAAAGCAAAGCACCTTAAACAATAAAAATTCTCAAAAATCAACGCGATTTTTAACTAACTCCGAACTTGCATTTTTTACTAGAATTTAATGGGCTGCAAAACTGCATACTGCAAAATCTGATTAAAAAGTTGAAAATTTGCTAAATTTTCGGGAGTTTTGCACAAAGTTTAGGAATTTAATTTTTATGCTTTTTGTTGTTGAATGAACCATATTTTTATACAAAATGCGCAGAAAAATATTAGAATAGAAATTGTTGCATATATTGTGAAAAATTTGCTGTGCCAACACGTTGTTCCGGCAGTGTACATGTGTGTAAGTACAACAAGTATTCCTGCAAAAAATGCTACCAATCCGCAATCACTCCGGGATCTCGCGCAATACCACTATTTATCTGTTTATCTGTTTATATGGAAAGAGCTATTAATTTCTTTCGAGTATGCCCTATGAAGACTGCCGAACGGGTCGCTTAGTTGCTCTAAAAAAAAAAAACTTAAGGCAGCTGAGATTCGAACCAGGGATCTCCGGCTTGCTTACGCCCCACATCAAATTTATGGTCGACATATCATTGAATTGTTAATTTCAAAAAATTTCTCCAATAATACAAAATACTAATCCATCTCCATTTTGATGTAGTATGTGATTAGCTGAGATTAGGCTATTAAAGATGCTACTTAATATGCTTTCACAGGTGTCAAAGGAAGATGCTTACACGCTTTTCCAGATGTAGAGTCAGAGCGACGTCGAAATATTGGGGGTAGATCCACCCATATCGCAGTCCATCTTGGATCCGTCGCACACTGGGGTATTTTGTATCAAAACTGTCGATTAATTCCGAGGCCTCTCAAATTGATAATTTTTGTGTAGAACACCTCAAAATAAGCCGAAAAAATTTTATAAAAATTATCGATAACTCGTTTATTATCGAGATATCTGAAGTTGAAGTTTAAAAAAATCTAAAAATTTTCACCGTTTTATTTTCTTAAAGAATGCCTCAAAATAAACCGAAACAATTAAGTAAGAATTATCGATAACTCGATTTGTTATCGAGATATCTCATTTTGAAGTTTTAAACAAATCGATAACTTTTTTGCGTTTTACTAGACCAGATAATTTTGTTTTTTCAAACTTCTAAAATGAAGTTATCGATAAATCGCCTAGTTAGCGAGATATCGATGATACAGGTTTTTCTGTATAATACCCTAAAATATGCAGAAAAAATTAAATATTGCGATAATTCGACTATTTATTATATTAAATAAAAACAAAAACATTTCATTATAAATTTCAGTACAAACAATATATTATGCAACATCATTACTATCATCGTCACCATCTTCCTCGTCGGAATCACTGCCATGAGCACTGTTATTGTCTCTGGCATAAGCTTTTGGCAAATTTAAGGATGGAGATTGTAACATATCCACAGCTACTTTTGGTAGGCTGTGTAATTTTTTTTCAGGCAATTTTCTCCTGCTTGATATTATTGGATCAGAAGTAATCAGCATCATGTTAAAAACGTCTTGATTCGACTTTTCTCGATCCATTTTTCTGGAATTACTCTCTCTATATTTTTTGAAATTTTTGTTGCTAGCTTCCTGCGCTTCTTCCGATAATTGGCCAATCGGTAACAATGCGTATGCTATTATTTCAGGTCCGTGAATAAAAAATTTATGCAATGTTGGAGGCATATAGTACCACGGATAATGTTCTACAAATATTCTAGCCGTTTCATGTGCATATTCCCGAAACTTATGTACATTTACGTCATGACCACACGAAACAACAATCAGTATATTATGCATTCGGACTATTAAATTAACGTTGATTTTCGTAATCTCCGCTGATAGTTCCGCATTCTGAAAAAAACGCCTGGCCGTATTTCCGTCATTGGAGCTACCGAATCCGGGTTTTGGACAATCAACAATCAAACCAGTCCTCTCTAGTTTTTTCCACAATTTGCTTTTCGGAGTCTGATCTAGCTTGCCATTTTTTGATTGGCAGTTTATATGACAGATGAAGAAGGCACTCAAAAAATCGTATCCATCCATGCAAAATTGATAACCCAAATTGTAAATTATCAGTGTTAATTTCCTTTTTTATAGTTTTATCGATTTGGTTGAAATCTTTGCTGGTGGAGCCGCATAAGTAACACTTTTGTGTAGATGTAGTTTCAGTGAGAGCGTTACAAACTTTACCGTCTATCATCGATAATATTAAGCTATGTCTTACTACTACAACTTTCTCACCAAGTTCCACAGTTGAATTATTTAGATGTTTAATTTCTTCGCTGACTCTATCATGCTCTAGCTTTGACGTAATTGCTGTTTCTTTGATGAACTCCATTTTCAATGGTCTGCAGAATCTGGTAGAAGAAGGGCGAGGATTCTGCCATATAATTTTTTCCCCGCATTCCAACCTTAATGGCACAATTGATGTTATTAACACAGAGGAATCTGTAGCTTCTGTGCCATGAAATGCTTGTTTATATGAGCTATGGCCAGAACTCCCATCGAAGCCCCATTTTGTATATAAACATAATTCAGACAGTTCTTTTTTGTTTAAAGAATCAATCACACTGTTTTGCAGCAGTACTAGGCGTTCAACAGTGTGATTAAGAAGCGCCTGTAAATCAAGTTCGACTGAGGATTCACATACTCTCATACTATCGCTTTTTGGATAACATTGTTTTTTTGCTAACTGGACAGCAGTGTACGAGGGAAACCTTTCTGGAGCAGCCTGTTTCACAATATTATATTGATGCCGCGATAGTCCAGCTTCAACCAAAACAGCTAATGCTTCTTCACTACTCAGTTTGTTGGACACCACCGACTTAAGTAAACTTTTTCTGTATTTATCCGCTCTCGTTGGTGAGCAAGAAGCTACATCATGTACTAACTTAGACGCCCCAATATTACCAGATTCCCTTAACTTCACTTGATTTGCAAAAGCTAGCATTGATAACGATGTGTTGTCTCTCAAATCCTTGGTTTTTTTGTACTTTGTTTTTGGGCCGGATTCTTCGAAAGCAATCTCTTTGCGACCTCGTTTTAGCTGTTTAGTAAAAAAAGAAATAGAAGAGTCTAACCAATTCCGATGGGTTTTAAAGAAACGTTCTTCTTTTCTATGACATCTTGTCCATCGCGTTTTAAATTCGGAGATGAAACGATTCATTGTGGCATTAAAAACAGGAATATCTTCATCTGATGGTCCAGTAAGCTTATTTATTTCTTCCTTTAAATAGTTGAACTTATCTTCAAAATGCTGGAATCCTGAGTTTTGCATTAAGTTGTATAGATGTTGACGAGTGAACATACGTGTGCATGAACTTATCCCTAACAAAATAGATAAAACATTTGTTAACTTTTGAAGTGGAAATAATTTTCCATTTAGCTTTTCACAATTAAATTGACATTCACAATTAAATTGACATTCACTGGCACAAAACTAACATTGTCTATCGAAAAAAATAAAGTAATAAACCATCACAACAGCGCTGCAGCGTCACAAACAAAAAAAAAATTGTAAGTTTGCCTCCGGTGGGATTCGAACATGAGACCTCCGGATTACTAGGCCAGCACGCTACCTTCGTAACCACGACAGGTTGCGATAAAGTTAGATTAAACTGTATTTTAAGTGATTTCATATCTAACGCTTTACGATCTTTACAAATCAGTAATACAACAACGACACAAAACAAATAATAAATATCAATAAGAAAACAAAACAGAAACACAAAACGCCAGCAACACAAAATATGCAAGGAAATTGATCATTTTTGTCCACTGACATTATGAACAAAAAGTTGAATTAATCAAAAGAGCCACAAAAGCGCACCTCAATTTTTTGCAGAAACATCGTCTACAATCCGCAAAATTAAAAAAAAAAAAAATCATAGCGCGATCTGGTCCGATAATTAACTATATGTCCAACTATATACCACAAATATTCACATTTTGGGGACTTTGAACAAAAAAAATTATTTAAAATATTAAATCACTTTTTTTGCTGCAATACTTATATCTGAAAAATAGTTCAATACCTGAAGTTGACGGCTCCACACTCAGATTTAGATTTCACTTGAAAATTTTTTAACGAAAAAACACTTTGATTAACTTGAAATATCAATTTTACAGCCGGCGCAAGCGAATAGAGAATGAAAGTGTAAATTCAAAAACACAATGCAGCTGCACTATACAACTTAGCACCGTTATTTTTTCGGTTAGTGATGCAGAATTATGTCTAGTTTCTATGGTTATTAAGTATTCGAGTGTTATTTCAAAATAAATTTTTTAATTAATCAACACTTTTGATACCCAATACCCCAGTGTGCGTCGGTATAGAGAGCGAGTGCCTCTTTATCAGTTAATCGGTCCTTTCTCCACTCTCTTCTGGATGGCAATCGCACCTTTATTTTACTGATCAAGTCAAGTTTGGGGATCATAAAGTCGAAGTGTTTTGTGATGTGTTTTCAAGAGATGATCAATATGGATCAGGTTAAGGATAGCGTTTAGCGCTTCTGTCAGGCAGTATTTGACATAC